ACATATTTTTAAATTAGCAATGACATCTGTCATGAACTGAAACGGATTGAATTTTGTGTCTCAGCTGTTTTAATTCATCTGCATTAGTTTTCTCCCCTCTCTGGATGAGAAAGTGTGAAGTAAAGATCTTTGTGTTTCCCATCTTTCTTCTTACTAAGCCAATGGACTTAATCATGGCAGCAGGGCCCGTACCCTGCAGAGCATCAATGACTCGTTACCCGTGATAACACGGCAGGACCCCGACCGACTGAGGAGATGCCTGAATTAAAATCCTGCTTCCATGGAAATAGGCACAGTGCCTCCCGGTCCTGCGTGACCTCTGAACTCTTGTCTTTGTCTCAGGACTGTGACAAGCGCTCCGAAATGGGGACGGAGGGAATGGGCGAAGAAAAGAAACAATTCTTTTTGCTGTCGAGTTTATAAGGCTGCCACATATTAAGTATAAAAAGAGGCCGCTGCTGCTTGTTGAGAGGTCCTTTAGATGTGGATGAAAGAGCCTCCTGAGGGTTTTCAAAGGGAAGGATCTGCATTGAGCTGGTGAGAAGCTCTCAGTTCCCATCTTTACCTTTATTACTATAACTACGGATAGCACTCAGCCACTAAGCCGATATAACAGTGAAACAGTGCACAGAGCCTTTGTGCCAAATCACTCCGATTCTACTGTTCCTAGAATAGCCTCAACAGTTAGATTTTCCTTCTGCTCTTCATTAAGTACATATCAAATATTCATGGCTATGGAAAGGTGTAACAATGACTTTAAGGGAGCCTGTTGAGTGTCTAATTTATTCAGACCATACAAGACATTCAGATGACTTAATCCCTGTGCTATTCCAGAAACCCAACTCGCTGTATTTCAGCTCTCAAAGGCCAAAGTTCCATTGGTAATGGTCACAGGGAGAGCCAAGATAAATGCCTGCTGCTTGTTTTCTTTGTGTGTGCAAAACTGCGTGTGTGTGTGTGTGTGTGTGTGTGCGTGGGTGTGTGTGTGTGTGTGTGTGTGTGTGTGTGTGTGCGTGTGTGGATTCCACAACTAATTGTGCTTCAGTAAAAATAAGTTAAGTAAACATGAAAATGGCTTAGATTGAACTTCAAGTACCAAAACCTCTGAGATGTTTCATGTGTTTTTTTATGAAAACTTGCTGCATCATCACAGAAGCAATCCAAGCTATTCAGCATAATGTTTAGTTTTCAGGGCAACAGCCCACGCAGAAAGCCAAGAAAAACTCAAAACCACTTAAAAAGAATCACAGGATGTCATTACTATGGTAAACCATCATGACAGCTTATAATGTAAATCATCTGAAAAAGTGGGAAGACAAAGACGAACCAGGAGATAGATAATAGCTCGCGTCAAACAGTGCAGTTCTTTGTAATCTGAGATCAAAACTAATTAGGATTGACTTACTTTGATTCTGCAAAATGTGGGCTTCTTTCTTCTTTGAATGTGCAAGTATGTATGTGGTTGGGAGGACGCTGAACTACTTTGGTAACTAACCATTTCAAACAGCTGAAACACTTTTGGCATTATAGCTGATCTCGACAGAACGCCTTTTTGAAAGCTTAACTAAAACTATTCACCTTGAAGTAACACAAACTATCAGTGCTTTCAGTTCTAATGACAGCTCAGAATCTTTTCTAAAGCGAAACAACAGAGCAATATGTTACTACCTGTGGAACAATGTTTTTAGACACCAATCAACAGTAGCAATAGACAAGGTTATTACAGTCAAGTAAAAGTTAACCGGAAAAAAAACTACACACAGAAAATAACAAAATCTAGCAAGAACAATATTATGCACTTAAGATACTATACTACATTGACAAAGTTACTGTTTTATCTACACATTAAACATAGAGAAGCTGCTGGGTCATCGAAACCCATGTCACAAAGCTCCCGGTGAACAGTTTTTGTGCTGATGTTAATGCAAGAGGAGGTTTGGAGCAGTTATTGAGTCAGCAGACTGTTGGTGAATCACGCATTATGTTCCTCAACACTCGGCAATCCTGCTCTGTAACTTTAAGTGGTCTTCCATCTTGTGACTGTGGTTCCTAAATGCTTCCACTTCCACTAGCAGGTAAGACATTTCCAAACCTGAACTGTTGCAGTGGTAGCATCCCATAACAGCAAAATCTTCAGTGACCTCTTTATAGAATGACCCATTATTTTTTAAAAGGAAGACTGCTTACCTAGTTACTTGATTTTACACACCTGTGTTAATGGGACTGAAAACACCCCAATCTGTAGACCAGTGCTTGTTTGTATATTGTATGTATAGGAAATGTCCCACTTTGTTAGTTTTAGTCTGTTAACACAACCAGCTTTGGGTGGCTTTACTTCATCTTAAGTGAAACTGGGGTGTCTACGTGAGTGTGATCTAAGTGTTTATACTGTAATGCCTCCTGTGTGTGTCTTAAATTTCCCTCTGAAATAAATCCATCTATGCTCTTTCTCTACTACTTCTGGAGGCTGTGGCTTATCCCAGTAGTCATTGGATGAAGGAAACTAGCAGAAACTAACACTGAAAAAAATAAGTAGATAAACTAAAGCCAAACACTTTTGAGCAGTCAAAACTGAAACATGCAAATATTTAAAATGAAACCAAACTGTAAAAGAAAAACTGCTAAATAAAACAAATATGCAGAGCCATGTATACAGAAGAAACTGAAAGTAGATTAAAAACTATTTAAAAATCAAGACAATAAGAAGATGATGAGTGTATTTTGTAATACATAATGAATGAAATGCTAGATTTTCTTTAATATAT